GGGACTGTCCACTCCCAGGCTGAACAGTGAACCTTGGAGGTAGCTTCACCACTGAGCTAAAAGGGTGTCTGGGGGCCATACTTAGGCTGATGTTTCTTAAGTGCCAAATTAGGATGCAGTGAGAAGCTGCACTGGGCACACTTAAGGCTCTGCCACAATTTTAAACTTTGACCCTGAAAGAGGAAATATGGAAAATGTATTTTTTAATGTTGTGTGCAATAGATGGATAAGCTCTGTAGTATGTGGGAGGTTCTTCCTCTAATAGTTAACCTTGCCAAAACATCTACCTCGTTTTATAGGAAGGATACAGCCCCTTGTACCAGGCGGCCCAACAAGGACATACAGACATCGTAACTCTTCTTCTGAAAAATGGTGCTTCCCCAAACGTGGTTGGCTTGGTAAGTATCAACTGGTTTTCTGATTTCAGACTATTGATCTCCATGGGCAGCCCTGTGAGACTTCCATTAACCATAAGGGTTCATTTGGATGTAAAAAATGACTTGAATTCTACTTCCAGCTTGGCCAGTCGTTTGCTCAGTCTGTGCTTACTGCACTGTATCGGGGAGCTGGGACGGGCTGCAGGGCCATATAGTTGGAGCGGCTTGGGGTACCCAAGGGCACAGATGTTGTGACCAGTTTTTCTTTCTGGTTAACTGAAGGTTATCCTTTTAAGCATCATTTATTTATTCTGCTTTTACTTTTGTCTAAATCCTCCTATTGAATCCCTTTCTAAATTCTATGAGGCTGCTTCAAGTATGGTACAAATGAGCAAAATTAAATGTCTTGGGTAGTTCATGATCTTTTGGGGCCTCAGGATTATCCTTACCAACATCCATGATCATTGTTGATGGTATGAATTTTCTCATCTTAAAATGTGGAAGTTTTATTAGATTGTCTCCATAGCTGCTTCCAGCTTTGAAAGTATATGGGCCTTTGATTGTAGATGTGGTTGCTGAAATTATAACTGTGGATGGGGCTGAACCTGTATGGAGCCTAGGGCACATTCTACTGCTAGAGAACTTTAAAAAAAAAAAAAGGCTCAATGTCAGTTTATTTTTGCATAGCTCTTTCTCTTAGCCACCTCTTGTCTGTCAGTTTGTCGTACTGTGGTGGCTTGAATGTTGCTGTGATGCTGGAAGCTATGTCCCTCAGGTTGGACGGCATTCAGAACATACTGGGGAAGAGCTGCCTCCTCAAAGCAGAGTCGACCTTAATGACGTGGATGGATTCAAGCTTTTGGGACCTTCATTTGCTGAGGTGGCATGACTCAAAATGAGAAAAAACAGCTGCAAACATTCATTAGTAATCTCAATGTGGAACGTACAAAGTATGAATCAAGGAAAACTGGAAGTCATCAGAAATGGAATGGAACACATAAAGATCAATATCCTAGGCATTGGTGAGCTGAAATAGACTGGTATTGACTATTTTGAATCAGACAATCACATGGTCTACTACGCCGGGAATGACAAATTAAAGAGGAATGATGACATCATAAAGAATATTCACTGTCAAAAAGAACATTTGAAGATCTGTCCTGAAGTACACCCACAAGGAAGAGCAGTTAATACAACATTACTGAAATTTACACACCAATCACTAATGTCCAAGATGAAAACATTGAAGACTTTTACCAACTTCTGCAGTCTAAAATTGATCGAACATGCAATCAAGATGCATTGATAGTTACTGGTGATTGGAATGCGAAAGTTGGAAACAAAGAAGAAGGACGAGTAGTTGGAAAATATGGCCTTGGTGATAGAAACCGTGCTGGGGACTGCATGGTAGAATTTTGCAAGACCAACAACTTATTCATCAGAACTGTTTTTTCAACAATGTAAACGACGACTGTACACATGGACCTTGCTGGATAGGTACATAGGAAACAAATCAACTACATCTGTGGAAAGAGACAATGGAGACGCTCAATATCATCATTAGAACAAGGCCAGGGGCCAACTGTGGAACAGACCATCAATTGCTCATATGCAAGTTCAAGGTGAAGCTGAAGAAAATTAAAACAAGTCCTTGAAAGCCAAAGTATGACCTTGAGCATATCCCACCTGAATTTACGGACCATCTCAGGAATAGATTTGCAGCACTGAGCACTAATGACCAAAGACCAGACGAGTTGTGGAATGACATCAAAGGCATTTTGCTGCAGATAATTCAAAAGCAGTTGCAGCAATACATGGACAGGGAACTGCCAGAAATTCAAACCAGATTCAGAAGAGAATGGGGAACGAAAGATATCATTGCTGATGTGAAATGGCTGAAAGCAGGGACTACCAGAAAAATGTTTGCCTGTGTTTTATTGACTATATGGATCATAACAAATTGTGGATAACATTGGGAAGAATGGGAATTTCAGAACACTTAATTGTGCTCATGTGGAACCTGTGCATAGACCAAGAGGCAGTTATTAGAACAGAACAAGGGAATACTGCATCGTTTAAAATCAGGACAGGTGTGCATCAGGGTTGTATCCTTTTACCATACTTACGCAATCTGTATCCTGTTCCTACTCTTCTTCCCAGAATGGAGCCACACCTCTGGCAATAGCGGAACGCCGGGGCTACATTTCTGTAACTGACGTGCTCAAAGTTGTCACAGATGAAACCAGTGTGAGGGTATGTCTGCTTCTCCTCCTCGCTTCCCTCCGAAACACACAGCCGGACTGACAAGGTGTCCCTGTGGGTTAACCTCCCCAAAGTGGAGTGAATTCCTTGGCTGTACACCTAGTAGGAAGCCAAAAGAGTGGGGAAGATTGTTCCCCATCCATCAGGCCAAGTTGTACTGCCACCTAGTGGCCTGAGGAATTGGGGCTGAGACCAGACCTAAAGGGGCAGCAGCAAGGTAGGGTTTGGGGAAGAGATTGGGAAATGGGAAGCTGGAATTTCCTGCTTACCCTCCTCATGGTTCCTGCCACACATCTGCTTCCAGGCTGAGAGCCTCTTAGCTTTGGTTTTCTTCATTTGGGATAAGTCTCCTTTTCCGTCTCCTCTCCACCGTCTCCACAATTGTGACCAGGTAACTGCTGGGTTGGTGAAGGGCCCAGTATTCCATTTGGGTTGAATTCTCTGCTTCTTCTCCTTTTAGTTAGTCAGTGACACGTCCCTGAGTCGCCCGGAGACAGTCGATGAGATTCCGGATGTCTCTGAAGATGAAGGTAAAGTCTGGGATAATGGGCTCAGGCTAAAGGGAAAGGAGGGGCTCTGAGTACTCACTGAGTAGCTTCCTGATACCTCAAGGGTTCTCATGACACACCCAAGTTCTGTGGACCTGAACTGAACCTGGAAATAGCCACCGTTTTAAAAAATGTTGTCTGTTGTCACAAACACTCCTTTAATATAATTTCAGGAGAAGGAAGATTTACATCTGAAGTTAAAATATAAAATCCCATGAAGTTTCATAAATAGCTATGGGTATGCATATCTTTGACATGTGCATCAAACTGGAGTATAATTCTACTCAGATCACTTCTCAGAGCTGTGAGGAACTGTAATAAACTTCTGCCTAGTGCTTTCCTCCTGCTTTGAACAAATAACAAACTGATTATTTAAAATCTGTGAGAATTTCTTTTAATAAGCTGCTCTTCTAACCCCAGTTTGTCAATAAAATTTTGGGTATATCTATTATTATGGCACTATTTGAGTTTCAATGTCCATGAACTACAGAATTTTTTTTTTCCCCCACTTCAAATAAGCCTTATTTCCTCACTTAAGTTTAGAGGGGACCCTTGTGATATAAAATGGTGGGGTTGGACTGGATTGCCTCTATGGTCCATTCGGTCTCTAGTTCAGTGGTTGTGTAACGTTGTCAGCTAGAAGATGAAAGATCTCCTTGTGTGCCCTTTGATAATATGCCTCTCACTTTAACTGACTTCAGTCCTATCCTTCCTTAAACTTGGCTCTTCTTTGCTTTCCAGGAACTGCTCATATAACTATCATGGGTATGAAACGCTTTCTGTTCCCTGTGGTCCTTTCTCACCAGAGTGCATTTCGCCCTAAGCAAACCAAACTCTCACTAATCCATTTGTGCTTTCCACCGTCCTCTGATGGCTGACCCTCCTGGAGCAGGGGCTTAACTACAATAGGAAATTTAACGCCATCAGATCCATGCCCTGGCAGGTCGTCTGCCTGTCCATCTCTGTGTTCGTCCCCATGCCACTGTGTGTGTGATAATAACTGCATGAGCTGTTATTTCATTCTGTCAGCTCCAGACCACAAAGCTAGAAAATTCACTGCTAAATGACAGTGCAAGGTCAAGGGCCCAGGCGTCAGCTCCAGTTCAAGCAGGGAGAGAAAGACAAAGAGGAAGTTGGGGTTGCAGGCAGTTGATTCACCCATAATTTGAGCCTTCTTATAGTGGGCTAACACCTACAAAAAAATCCTGCAGCCCTTCGAAATGAGTGGTTTCAGTTCCATTGCTGTTGGTCCTTCTGTAGTGTGTAGTGTGGAAAAGAACACGAACAACTTTCTTTGGCGTCTCTGGACACCCAAGAAGGGTTGTTTTGAAGTAGGGCTTGTCAAGCTGAGAAAGTTCTTCCTGGCTGTATTTTTTTCTATAAAGCCTCCTATAAGCTAAGATGTTAGGAGTTGGCTGCCCCATTCTGTATACTGGGGCTGGAGGAACAGGACTGGTCAAAGTCATTGCTAATGATCCCCTTTGAGCATCAGAGCACTTCCTCCGCTCCTCAGGTGCAAGCATTGAGAGGAGGACCAGGAAAAGCACTTTTTTAAAAAAAGAAAGAGGCAATCTACTATCTCCATTCTGTCATTCACTTAAACTTGTGTGGTTCCAGGGGAAGAACTTGGCTTGGGAGCTGAGAAGCAGTATGCATATGAAGAGAAAGAGCAACTGGACTTTGGACCTAAGCTAGACCAAATGTAAGAAGTGCTCACACGGTGCATGGCCAAGGCTTAACCCTAGAACTCGAAGGAATCCAGAGCCAGGAAAAGTAGTAAGAAGGCCAGGCCTTGGAGGTGGCTCTGACAAAGACAGAATGCTGAGTCCGTTGACTGCAGGTCCATATTTGCATCAAGATAGGCTGGCTCTGTGCCTGGGCTGCAGAGAGGGGACTGAGGCCTCCCTGACAGTGGGCTGCCTGAGAGCATCTATACCCCTCTTCCCATCCCTACCTCCCAATTTTTTTCCTCCCCTCTCTCACACTCACATATTCACACCCTCTCTCACTCTCATGTGCTCTCAGCTTCCTACCAGAAAGTTCTATTGAGGAAGATTCACACTAGAAACACTTGCCAAGCTAAGATCCAACACTGACCATGTTCCCCTGTCCATGAGCAACATTAGGTAAAACGCACCAAGGATTTGTGTCTGCTTGGAACACCTTTCTCATTTCTCCCTGTGACTATTGAGACATACCATTGGGGGTACATTTGCACACAAGGATGTTTTGTGACTACATCTAAAATCTTCAACTTTTTAAAGACAGAAGCATGCATTCCAGTTTAGTTCCATGGCTTATACAAAATAGTTCTGGTCGAACAAGCAAGATGTGGAACTATAAGGATATTTAATCCAGTAGAAATCAATAACAGAAAAAAGCAAGGAAAAAAAAATCAACCACATGGAAACTGAACAACACCTTGCTCAAAAACTACTGGGTTATAGAAGAGATTAAGGATGGAATAAAAAAATTCATAGACTCAAACGTGAATGAAAACACATCCTACCAGAACCTTTGGGACACAGCAAAAGCAGTGCTCAGAGGTCAGTTTATAGCATAAATGCACACATCGAAAAAGAAGAAAGGGCTAAAATGAAAACATTAACCCTACAACTCGAACAAGTGGAAAGAGAGCAGCAAAAGAAGCCCTTGGGCGCCAGAAGAAAGGAGATAATAAGAATTAGAGCAGAATTAAATGAAATAGAGAATAGAAAAACAATTGAAAGAGTTAACAAGGATATTTAATCAATTAGTATTTTCTAAACATCTGTTGGAAAGAACAAGACTTGGACCCTGACCACAGGAAACTTACAGATCAATTCATTTGGTGGGACCAAAACACACACAAAGTGGTCATCTAGCAATGCAGGATAGTATATTACTATGGCCAGCCTGAGAGCTCCATCAACAGGGGCTATAGGGCTACAAAAAGGGGCAATCAGCATGGGTTGGACTAGTCAGGAGACTACTTCATGGAGGAGGCAGGTCCTTCAACTAGGTCTTGAAGGACATTTGGGCTTAGGAGCAGAAAAGAGGAAAAGGAAGGGTCTGTAGGTGAGGTCAAGAGAATGGCCAGCACATGGAAGAGGAATAATTGTGCTACATGTACGAATGGGAGGCTCAGAATGCAGAGAGGAACATGGGATTGGACAGATTATTATAGGGGTACAGAGGCATTTCACTTAGGCCTTCCATGAACGATAGGGGCCACTTAGAAGGGTCACCCCTTTGATTTCCCAATGTTCTTGGTACGCAGGATGGAATCCCCAGCCATTCCGAAGATTCCTTATGTCACACCTGAGGCAGTGCTGTTAAGAATGGATGAGCAGGAGCAGGTAAGAAGCATCATTTCTCTTCCCTTCTTATGTGCAGTGAGTGGCCCAAGACAGTGATTGCTTGAGATGACGTGTAGCGCAGTGATAGGAGTTAACAGCTGAAAAGCTTTTAGCATTTATAGAGTCCCTTCAGATCCATGATCCCATGTGTTTTCTGTAGCCCCCAGTGCTGTCTGTATGATTATTATGATCCCAGACGTTCGTGATATGAGCATCAGAGAGCCTAAGGGGTATGTGAAAGTCAGTAACCCTGTCCAGGGAAACAGAGAACTGACACCAGAAATTCTGGCTTTGAAGCCCATGTTCTCACAACCACAACCCCTGAGCACCTGCTTTCTGCACATACGGAGACTAGAGGTCATGGTGCTGGGGAGGAAGCCCTACCTGAGGCAGGTGTAGTGAAGCTAGAGGTCCACTCCGGCTGCAGCCTGCACCTGCTGTGAAGCTCTGGGCAAGCCACATACCTCCTGTGCTTTTCTTTGACATCTATAAAAAGGCAGCAATTTCTGCCTCACTTCACTCAAGGAGTCATTGGGAGCTTAAAAGGCCAGTACAGATATAAAAGTGATGTCAGAGAGCTGTTCCAAATGCGGGGTATTATTCATTCTAGTACCCTATATTGTGGCTTCCCAGGATGCTACCTGAATTTCTCACACACACACACACACACACACACACTCACACACGAATGTTTTAAAACAATTTCTTTCCCCCTAGTTTAATTTTATGCCATCTGGCACTTTTTTCCAGGGCAAAGGAATTTTTTAGGGAAAAAAGAAAGCAGTATGGTGTTACAATCCCCAAAAGGTTGGACATGACTACTCTAAGGCTGATAGCTTAAGGCGTGTCTGTTTTCTAGCTAAGGTTGATTTCCCCCTTGTCACCAAAGGCCTATATGTCTGAAAGCAGCAAGGATACCCCTGGACCTGTAAATGGCTCACAGGGATAAGCCGTCTTTGGAGCTGTCTGATCAGCCATTCCATGTGAGGATATATTATCATGATCAACATTGGTGCCACAGGGTGGCATTTGGGAGATGTGGTCAAATATGGCCCTGTTACTGCTGGGGCATGTTCTCTGGATTCCCGCCAATGAGACTGAGAAGAACCCCACCAGGTGGACCTGTGTCCTGTTGTTCCTTGACCAAACCATTCTCTCCAACTCTTTGCTTAAGTCATTAACTCAAGTCAGCAGACCCTACTATGTGTCCTGTATGGGGCTAGATTCTATCAGAAACAGAGGAGGGCTATAAGACGTAATACCTGGATACCTGGATACATAGGAACTTATGGTCTAACTGGGAAGAGTGGACTTGGGTACATGAAACCAATTAGAAAAGAACAACAGCATGGTGAATAATGAAGTGCTAAATTGTGTGGTGTATGTTCCTTTTAAGAGTTTAGAGAAGGGAGTTTAGTGTCAATAGGAAGGATTCACAGATGCAGTGAGACGTAAGAAATGGATGGGATTGGACTAGCTAAGGAGAGCCACAGGGCATTCTGGAAGGCATGAGTGAGAGCAGAGTTGAGAATAAACCTGGAAGGTACCAGGACCAGATTCAGGTCCTTCTGGCTTTCATGAGTCTTTGTGAGGGACAAGACTCTGTGCAAGGCAGCCCCATATCCCTGTATGTACAATGTTACAGGGAGGTAGGAAACTTCCATTTTACCAATGAGGAAATGGAAAGTTTCACAAGGACAGGGGCCTTGTTTTATTCACCTCTTGTATCTCAAATGCCTACAGGAAAAGTAGCTTAAAAAAAAAGTTGCCATGGAATTGATTCTGACTCACGGCGACCCCATGTGTGTCAGAGTAGAACTGTGCTCCATAGTGTTTTCAATGGCTGATTTTTCAAAAGTAGATGGCCAGGCCTTTCTTCCAAGGAGCCTCTGGTTAATGGCCAAATGTATTAACTATTTTCGACACCCAGGGACTCCATAAGTAGCTTACCCTAAGCAAAATAACTAGTAGGTGATAGTGCAGGGATTTAAACCCAGATGTTTTAATGCCAGCTTTAGGGAGAAAACCAATCTGCCTAGAGCACAGGCTCCATAGTGGGGTGTAACTGGAGAAAGGGGTGGCTAGGTCAGCAAGTGCGTGCAGAGGGTATAGGACCCAAAAGCCAGGTTAAAGAGTGTGGACGTGCTCCATCTGTTCCAAATAAAGGTTCAAAGATCTCTCTCTGGATCTTGAGCCAAGCATTGGCAATGAAGGTAGGAAAATGCCTGTGCTCCCTTTTAGACTCCAAGAATGTTCTGTCATGGAAAGGTCAGTGGATGAGTACGCGGGAGTAATTTCTCCATTGGGCCACTTTGTTTCTGGCAATGAGATGCTCCTGAGCCTCCTCAGCCCCGGCACAATACCCAGCTGGCCTGAGACCAGCACCTGCGCTCCAGGAGGTGAAAGGATAGGAGGGCCTTTTCTCTCCTCCTCAGGCAATCGGAGAATATGATGAAGATTCACTCATCCCCAGCAGCCCCGCCACAGAGACCTCAGACAACATCAGCCCAGTGGCCAGCCCAGTCCACCGCGATGGGTAAGTCACCACCCGAGTGCAGGGGACACACAGGACTCTGGGCTGCCCACCCTCCCTGTCTCAGAGGGGCCGTGTAGAAGCCCAAAGTGGATCTGTCTGTGCTCCTAGGTTTTTGGGGAGCTTCATGGTTGACGCCCGGGGAGGCTTCAAAAGAGGAAATCGTCAAAACCACCTAACGGTAGCGATCCCGCGCCGGACCTTTCCTTCGCCCATGCGCATCACCTGCCGCCTGGTCAGGCTGCCCCAGAAGCTGAGCACACCACCCCCGCTGGCCGAGTCGGAGGGCCTGGCCAGCAGGATCATTGCGCTGGGGCCCACGGGGATCCACTTCTTGGGGTGAGAGGTTGCTCTTGCTGGGTGTGCATGTGCAAGATGTGCTTCTAACCTGTTCCTGCCGCACAGGTCCCGTTGCTGCTGCCCCCGCAACAATGCCCAGAACCCTAGCCGCAGGGCAGAGGGAGAGGCGAACCCCGGAGCCCCTCTTATTCCTCTGCTGTGCTGGACGGGGAACCAGAACTGGGAGCTTTAGTCCCCTTTCACCACCTTTTCCTAGAAATACTGGAGGGTTCATATCCGAGTGGAGCTCCATACCCTCGAATCTTGGTGTGACACTGTAGGTAGAAATGGAGTAGAAGACAGGTTTGCTTGGGAGGCTCCCAAGAGGTTAATTATTTAAGCACTAAAATAGTCTTACTAGAAGGCAGTCCCTGTAGCAGTGCCCTCAAAACAAGATTAAGGGGCTTCAGAGCCGATTCCTCCTCATCTTTTCTGCAGCAAACCTGGAGCTTTTTCACCCTTCAAGCACAGTAGGGTGTAGTGTTCCAGGCAGGTCTCGAGCAGGGGCCCTGCCTGCCCGCCTCTGTCTACTCTCCTGTCCCACCTCCGTGTTTGCATCTGCCATTTGTAAAGCAGTCTGCAGAGCGCTTTCACGTTTTAAATGTGATTCTCAAAGCCGTCCTCCAAAGTTAATGGTATTATCCCCATTTTATAGATGAGGAAGCTGAGGCTCAGAGAGATTAGCTTACCTGTCTAACCGTGGCAGACAGGTTCCCAGTATCAGGCCAAGGGCAGTGTTGTTTGACTGCAAGGCCATGAGCAGAGAGAGCGTCCTCTGTGAAATGAGGCTGAGCCCACCCTTCCTGGCATTCTGGAGCCTGATGGCAAGCGAGAGGGGCTGGCACATTCCACTGTAGGGACCTGCCAGTAGGTGGGGCCCCCACTGTGACTGCAGGACCCCTCCCTCCAGGCAGCAGCCTGACTGCCCTGCGCCGCCTACTCTTCCCTCCTCCATTGTTTGCTCTGGCCTGCCCTAGCCCTGTGGTTGTGGAGATCCCTCACTTCGCCTCCCACGGCCGTGGGGATCGAGAGCTGGCGATTCTGAGGAGTGAAAATGGCTCCGTGTGGAAGGAGCATATCAACCCCCAAGAAGAGAGCTACCTGGATCAGATTCTCAACGGACTGGATGAAGGTGATGAGCTGCGCGGATTCCAGGGCAGGGTGCTCCTCCTCCAGGAATATGGGGTTTGGGGTTACACTTTTGGGATTGGCTGTTGGGGTTGCCTGGAGTCTGGGGGACCCTTAAAGGCTAGAAATGGCCCCATTTGGCCAAGCTCCAGGAGCCTAGGTACATCTGAGTGGGTGCTCGGCCCTTGCCTGCAGCCCTCAGCACCTTTGACTGATCTGGTCCCAGAGGTTTCTCTCTCCGGGCCGTCAGCCTCTCTCCCCACTGCTGGCTGCCGGGGGAGGGCGCATACATCCAGTCAAGGATGAAGAGGCTCTGGGGACACACAGTGGAGCTAAGCCTGTGCATGCAGAGTGACCGATGGGGGTGGGCCTCACTGTGTGATTACAGAGCTGGACAGCCTGGAAGAGCTGGAGAGGAAGAGAGTCTGCCGTGTCATCACCGAAAGCTTCCCCTTGTACTTCGTGGTCATGTCTCGGCTCTGCCAGGACTCCGATATCATCAGCCCTGAGGGGGGCTCTCTGAAGAGCAAGCTGGTCCCCCTGGTGCAGGCAACGTTCCCAGAAAATGCTGTCACCAAGAAAGTGAAGCTGATTTTGCAGGTGACACACCCCCAGGCCAGCTGGAACCCCCACCCACTTGGAGTGCATGGAGGGTGGAAGGACTTGCCATCCTCAGGAAGCCTGCCCCTCATTCCCATGACGTCCTCACACTGCTGTCCTTAATCTTACAGTGAGAGAGCTGGTCTTCAGGCTCGAAAGAAAGTTGGGTGGGAGTAGAGATGCAGCAGGACATTCCCTATTAAGTGGCAAAAAGCCCCTGATAGCACATCACACTACATGGCCAGCTGTGCTCAGCATGAGGGCGCTCCGTATGCCTTCCTGGGACAGACTGCGAGGCAGAGCAGAGGTGGTGATGTCCTAGCAATGGGAAGCAGCAGGGCAAAGGGGAGAAGAGACGAGAGAGCAAAGCTAGGCGGTGACACCAGAACTCGGGCAGGCCTTGCAGTGAGCACAATAAATAGATGTGGTGAGAGCTGGGACCAGGGACAAGAACAGTAGTAGTGGAGACCCTGAGAAGAGCCTTGGCCCTGTGGAGAGACAGACCCCACTGTCCCCTTGCGGATGACGGTGCCTGCCTCCTGTGTCCTGTCCGACAAGCTCCTCTCCTGTTCTGGAGCTGAGCATCCTACCTTTGACATTCCTCAGGCCCAGCCCGTACCCGATGAGCTAGTCTCCAAACTCCTGGGCAACCAGGCCACCTTCAGCCCCATTGTCACTGTGGAGCCACGGCGCCGCAAGTTCCACCGTCCCATAGGGCTTCGGATCCCGCTCCCTCCTTCGTGGACAGACAACCCTCGGGACAGCGGGGAGGGGGACACCACCAGCCTGCGTCTGCTCTGCAGTGTCATTGGTGAGAGTGCCCCTGCTGCCTCTGACCTGTCTTCTCTGGGACCCGGCTCCTTCCAGCAGACACTGGGGTGGGGGAGGCAGGAGGAGGGGAAACCACCATCTCCTCATTCTGTTCATTTCCTCTGGGCCTGTGTGCTCTTGGAAGACATGGAGGGACGATGCATCTGAATAAAAGTCCATGCCCCTGTGTAAGAGCTCCCTGACCCTGAGGAGAAGGGGCTGCTGCAAATTGCTAGCAGGAGAAGGAGAGAGTGAGAGAATAAGGTGTGCTCAGAGCCATAGACCGAGTGAGCCTCAGCCAGATGTTCCCATCTCTGCCTTTGCACGCTCAGTCCTTAGCGTTTACGTGTGCCCATTCTGAAGATGATCCCTCAGCCTTATTTCTGTTCCTGTTGCAGGAGGAACAGATGAAGCCGTATGGGAAGATATAACAGGCACAACCAAGCTGGTATATGCCAACGAGTGCGCCAACTTCACCACCAACGTCTCTGCCAAGTGAGATGCTGTCTTAGGCCAGCCTGGTGCTCCCAGGCCCCAGATTATGGGGGCCAGTGCTGCCCCCGCAGGGTAGCCTTCCTCATGCTCCAGCCGGCCCACCCTGAGGCTCCTTTGCTGCCCCTCTCCACTTAGAGGAAGCCTTTCTGAGCCACCAGGAGTGTTAGACTCACAGATAGATAACTCCCGTCTGGGTGGAAGTGAAGTGCTCCATCAGGCCGTTAGGAATACGCTTTATAATTAAACCTATCACTGTCAAGTCAGTTCTGACTCACGGCAACCCCATGTGTGCCAGAGTAGACCTGTGCTCGATCGGGTTTTCAATGACTAAGTTTTCAGAAGTAGATCGCCAGGCCTTTTTTCTAAGATGCCTCTGGGTGGACTTGAACCTCCAAGCTTGTGGTTAGCAGCCGAGTGCGTTAACCTTTTGCACCACCCAGGGATCCCAGTTTATAATAAGCCCTCCCTTTTTAGGTTTTGGCTGTCAGACTGTCCTCGGACTGCTGAGGCTGTGAACTTCGCCACTGCGCTGTACAAGGAGCTTGCCGCGGTGCCCTATATGGCCAAGTTTGTCGTCTTTGCCAAGATGAAAGACACCCAAGAAGGACGGCTACACTGCTACTGCATGACAGATGATAGAGTGGACAAGACCCTGGAGCAACATGAGAACTTTGTTGAGGTGGCCCGGAGCAGGGACATCGAGGTACCGCTCCCGGCTCCCTTTGTTCCGGGCACTCACAGGCCTTCCTCGCTTCTCACGCTGAGACAGAACCTCTGAGCTAGGACAGCGGTACTCTCAGTGTACATGGTGACCCAGTGTAGTCAGAAAAACCCTAGCTCTGTAGCGGAGAGGGTTTCTAGAATGTATCTGATTCTCTTCTTGAGAAAGATCCTGAAGAACCTTTGAGAAAAGTGAGGAAAGTTAACGAGTATATCTGAGGACAAGCAGCAGAGCCTGTGATTTGTGATGATGAGCTGACATTTATTGAGCTCTTAGCTACCAGGTACTCATAAAAGGGCTTTACTGGCTAAGCTCATTTAATTCTCATAACTGTCTGCTTTTATTATCCCCAATTTACAGATGAGGAAACTGAGGCTGAGAGAAGTAAAGTAACTTGCTTAAGGTCACACAAATAGTAAATGGTAGAGAAAGGATTTGTCCGAGTAGTCTGACCCCAGCATCCACACCTTTAACTGCTATGCTAGGGTTTTGATAGTGCTCAGTTGGGGCAGCAGGTGAGAGGGCTGGATTATGATGTGAATAAAGAAATTGGGACTAGATTTGAACCTGTTACTGGTCCCAGGATACCCACGCACGTTAAATTGTGTAATATGCCAGGACCTTTCCAGAACTGTGGCCTCAGAGTCTATGCTGGGTCTTCTAAAGGAAAGTTGCAGTAGAAAGAGCACAGGGCTGGAGCTCTGAGCCTTGGTTCTAATCCTGTCTCGGGCACTAAGTAGGCAAGGCACTTATTCTCTTTGGGGCTCAATTTCCTCAACTATCAAATGAGTTAATGATCTCTTCTCAGTTGAAAGCATTATATACACATCTGGGATCATTAGTATAAGTGAGATTCAAATATAACGTGTTCCTTCCAGCACTTCTCATAAATGAAAATTTTTGGATTACCATAACAACAGATCCAGATTTTTAGAAGCCAAGTTCTAACATCCTAGTGGATTTCTAGAGTACTCTGATAGCAATCTGGATAAACCTCACAGAGATATGTGGAGATCTTGCTTATTATAAAATCTTTTGAAGTTAGGAAGCATGCTTCATTCATCATAACCTTGGGAATAAAGCATTTTCCAAAACAAATAGTAGAATTTCTCAGAGCATGCCATTTGTGCCCCAGCTGTAGAAGGGGTGTATCTTGGGAAGGCAACGGCCAAAGCTTAAAGGTAGGTTAACTGGGTGTTTCTGCCTCACAAGCTGTATTTGCTTTTGCCTTCCTACAGGTTTTCGAAGGAATGTCCCTATTTGTGGAACTCTTTGGGAACTTGATACCAGTCAAAAAAGCTGCCCAGCAGCGAAGCTTCGACTTCCATGCCTTTCAGGAGAACCGTTTGGCCGTACCTGTAAAGGTGCCAGCATCCCTTGCTGACCTCTTGCCTGGGTCTAGAAAGTTTGAGAGGCAGAAATCCCTAAACCAACCAGCCTGGTGGCCTATAAAACAGATCCCTGAATCTTTCTTTTGTGTGATTGAATTTAGGTGCGGGACAGCAGTCGAGAACCAGGAGGGTCCTTGTCATTTCTGCGCAAGGCAATGAAGTATGAGGACACCCCACAGATTCTCTGCCACTTGAACATCACCATGCCCCCCTGCACCAAGGTGAGCTGCCTGGTCCACCTGATGAGGACCCTCAGCCAGAGATGGGATCCCCTAAGTATGTCTCAAAACAGATGCCAGGTCGAGCACTTCCAAAGGGCTTCTCCCTATTGAGAAGCTGCATTTGAATTCCTCGAGGTACGGAAAGGTTCTTTGCTCGCCTCTGGACATTTGTCTGTGGCTTAGCAGGGAAAACTTGCCAGGCCCTTTATGCAAAGTTAAGTCAAGCTTTGGTCATGTGACCTGAAGAGCAAACCATGTGTCAGAGGAGGATATGCATGTTCACATTGTGGGGCCTGACCTCTCTAGGATGGGAAGGTTAGAAGGAACTTAAATGCATCTTCTTTGGCTTCCCTCGTCTGAGGCCTCAGAGGCTTAGAAACAGGTTCTGAATTGCTCAAGGTTACCTGGCCATTTAGTAGCTTTTATCAAGCCTCTTTTCCATTTACTTGCTCATCTCCCCCAGGGGGCCAGGCCCTCAAAAGAAGGGAACCTGGTGTCCTCAGCCCTGAAAACAACTAAGTTTTTGAGCTCAGCAAAAGACTCTTGACCAAGTATGTTCATTTATTGATATTTGTAAGAGTATCAGAGTCACCACCTGTACGAGGGACTTTGGAGTGATCATCGTGTTTCCATGTCTTTTTATTGTTGGTGTTTCGTTGCTAATCATTAGCCTTCCATGCTAAAGTAGAAAAGAAGCCAGCTTACGTTCACACGCTCATGACTCAGATTCTCTTTTTTTTTCTGAGGACCACAGTGAACCAACTTCTGTTTCAAAAGACGATCTCTTGGGCAAGCATCCGGGTGCTTTTCCCCGTGCCAGGGGCTAAGCCTCCGCTCTGGGAACAATATCAGAATTGGGTCTTTTGAGCAGACAGGAATCCAAGCATGGTTTTGAGTTCAAACCCCAGCTCCACCAGCTCGGTGACCTTGGGAAATTTACTTCTCAGTGCCTCAGTTTTCTCATCGAAGAAATGGGAATAATAATAGCACCTACCGCATAGGTACTACACAGGGCCTCACACATGATAAGTGCTACAAAAGTTTGCCATTATTATTATTAATAAAATATGTGAACTTCAGCAACATTCCTTTACTTCCACCTCTTTCCACACTTCTACTTCTTTTTGCTGTGCATCCAAAGAAACGGAGCTCCTGTTTACCAAAACCAGGGTCATCATTCCCTACTCCTACAGCATAAGGGCTCAAATCCCCTTTCTTCAAGACCAGGGAACGGCCCAGAACCCAAATCACCCTTTCTTTTTCTTTCTTCTGCAGGAGAGCGGAGCTGATTATAGGAGAAGTATGTTGACACCCCTGGCCTTGAGATACAGCATTCTCAGCAAATCAACACTGAGTATAAACCTCTTTATGATGATATGTGCTCATTCTCTTTCCAAGAAAGTTGTGAATGAGATCACTTCCCCTCCTGGCAAGGGTGCTAGGTCCCTGGGCAGTGCAAATAGTTTGAGCTCATCTACTAACCTAAAGGCTGGTAGTTCAAACCCACCCAGTGGCACTGCAAACGAAAGTCCTGATGATCTGCTTCCATAAAGATCACAGCCAAGAAAACCCTACAGAGCACAGTTCTACTCTGTATCACCTGGGTCAGCACGAATCAGAATCGACCCGATGGCAACAGGTTTTATCAAGGGCTCTGTCACTGATGTGGATTTACTCAGCCCACTATGGATACAGCATGTAGAACCTTTGACTGGGGTCCTATCTGGCCTTTACAGGTTTAGCAATCAATCCAGGGTACACTGAGGCTCATCGCATGACCTGGGCACCCACCAGCTGTCAATTCCTCATGCCTGTCAAGGCTGTGTCCTGCCGAGGCTACTAAATGAAATCTCCTGCTTCTCCCCAGGTTTCCTAGGTGGGATAGATCGAGCAGACATGAAAATGGCTGTTATATCAGAGCACCTTGGCCACAGCTGGACCGGTGAGTGTGGGAATTTGGGCTGTTAAAGTGCTTTGTCTGTTTCATGTATCCCCCTATACCCCCTCTTGCTTTAATGGGCCACTGGTGGAAGCATTTCTGACCCTCTCTTCACCCCTCTGTTGTGGATCTGATTTGTGATGGTCTCATATAGGTCTGCTACTCAAGCATGCCCTGGGTGCCAGTGGAAAGGAGATGCTCCCTCCCTCCTCGATTCTGTTTGGTTTTCCCTTGTAGGAGCGAATCATCAACTTTTGATATTCTAAGAGACCTTAGGGTTTATCTAGTCCATCTCATTTTGCACGTGGGAAAACGGAGATCCACCTAAGTAGACTGACCTTGATGTATAGCTGGTTAGTAACACAGCCCAGAGAAACAAGCACACAGACCAAAACAACATCCCCCGGCTGACTGTTCCCTACTCCCTCTACACTATACATTGCCTTGCCCCAAAGTCTGGCTTTGTGGAAGGAGAGGAGAGAAGAAAAGGGAAAGTCAAATTTTTTCATTAAAATCTTCAGCTATAACTGAAGTCTACCAGAAGTCCCATCAACAATGGGGATAGATCTTATTTGAAGGGAGGCAGATGGGCAAAATGAACTTAAAGATCAAAATGCTCACAATGCTTTTCTATTCAACTATTGGCCCTATAACTTAGTTCTCTCCTCCACCCCCTTTTTTAACTTTTTATATGAATGGATGCCCTCCACTGAGTCACCCTGCAGAGCACTTTAGACACATTCAGAAACCTTAGCAAGAACTTGCTGAAAGGCAGTGTGACACACACTCAGAAGTTCAGGAACAGTTCATTCTTTAAACCATAGCTATTGCTGCTTCTTAGGTGTCCCTGGGTGGTGTAGATGATTAACACACTCGACTGCTAACCAAAAGGTTGCTGGTTCAAGTCCACCCAAGGCAGCTTGGAAGAAAAATCTTTGAAAAATCGTTGACTTCTGAAAAGTCATTGAAAATAATGGAAAACCCTATGGGACACAGTACTATTCTGACATGCATGGAGTCATCACGAGATGGGATCAACTCAACGGCAACTGTTTATTGCCGCTTCTTGGTGTGTGTGTATGTGTGTGTTGTACACGCCTGTTCTGATTCTCCCTATTGCTTTCCCTCTGATCTTCCTCATCCTTGAAATTAGACTCTGATGCTGTTTTCCGTTCTAAAGCACCAGTGAGATATAACAATAAAAATAATGGGGAGTGGGGAGGGAAAGAGCTAACATTCCATGTTAGTACCTTGCATTTAGATGGTAATTTGTTATTTGCATTTTAAATGCAAATAATGCCTTTCCCCTGAGGAAATGTAAATACAGAAACACAGAGTTACCTAAATGTATTCCCGTTATAATTGATTCTTGGGGGAAAGGGAGTGACATCTTGTATAAACATGAGTATAAATGGGATAAACAGCACTGGAGTGGGAATTGGCAGACTCAGTTCACTCCTAGCTCTCATACTAACTTGTCCTGTGACCTTGGATAAATTGCTAACCTTGCTGAGGCTCAGTCTTATCATCTCATGTTTGATGGAATGGAGAGAAAGGCCATTCATTCATTCAACGACTATTTATTGAGCACCCCTGTCCCCACCCCATTTTCTGAGGATGCAAGGATGTCAGTGATTGCATTTCACCTAGTATTTCTTGGTAAGAAGAAACATCAAATCCAAAAGAGAACTGTTCTTGAACTGCCTGTACTCCCCTTCCAACAACCCCTACTCCACAACGGCTGGCTTATGAGCTTGAGCAGAGCTGGGTAGGATCTATGGCTTGGCTCACATCTGATACTTGGTTCTTTGCTTGCAGAGTTGGCCCGGGAGCTGCAGTTCAGTGAAGAAGACATCGACAGGATCCGCATAGAAAATCCCGACTCTTTGTTGGAACAGAGTGCAGCCTTGTTGAACTTCTGGGTCGCCCGTGAAGGACACGATGCAAACAGTCAGTACCCTGAAGCTAAGGAAAGCTTCTCTTTCCAAAGCGTGTGCTAGGACCTACTCTTTACCAGTGAAGTTCTTCCTTCTAATTCCATTTGTCATGTTGGCCTTTTGGGAATCAATCAATACGTCTCTCTTTCTCTCTCTCACACACACAGTCTTAGTTTCCTAGTGCTGTTGTAACAGAAGTATTGCTAGTGCGTAGCTTTAAAGAACAGAAATTTATTTTCTCACAATTCTGGAGGCCAGAAGTCCGAATTTAGAGTGTGGCTCTAGGGTGAGGTCCTTGTTTGTCTATCTCAGCTTCTGGTAGCTGACAATCCTTGGTTCTTTGGTGATCTTCATGTAGCATCTCTCTTACCCCATTTGTGTTTGTGTAGCTCTGTGTCTAGGCTGCTCTTTATATCACTTAGAAGTGATTAGGTTTAGGACACACCCTATACTGACATGGCCTCATTAACATAACAGAGAAAACCCTATTCCCAAATGGGATTAAATCCACAGGATCAGGATTCCAACACATATTTTTAGGAGACACAATTCAACCCATAACACACACACACTGTATGTACACACACCTCAGGGTCACTAGGTCTTCTAGCCAGTCCTACCAAGTTACCACACTCTTGGCCTCAATCTTTCTCCCATGGTTAGAATAAGATAAAAATTGCACCAGGACCCCTAGATTATATAACCCTAGATTATACAGGGTGTGTGACTCTCATCTTTGAAGTCTTCCCTTTGAATTTCTCAAATAAATGAATACAGTCTTCTCAGGATAGAGTATGGAACAGCCCAGTCCATCTGAAGCAATTCTCATTCTTACAGGGGCATCTTTTTCTCCGACCTGGAGGAAAGATTTGTCTCTCACTATCTTTTCAGCTCCTCCCCAACCAAACTCCCATACCCAAAAAACACTAAAAGGAAATTGAGTGTTTACATTTGCATCCCAAATCAACTGGCAAGGACCAAGCATTTCAGAAGGAAAGAATCCAATCCTTCTCACCCTTGTTTTCTTGAAGTACTCCTCTCAGATTACAGAAACAAGCTTTCCATGCTTTAAAATTGGCCATTGTTAGCCTTTGGAAAAAAAATCTGTTAAAGTGTTTAAAAAAAAAAAACTCCAAAGAGGCAGTTCATTTTGATTCTGACCAGAGAGGGGTTGCCTCCATCTTCTGAAAATATAAACCATCTCCTTTCTCACATCCTCCCCTCCTGGCCTAACTTTCAGAGCCCATTCAACATTCCCTTGCTGCCCTAGAATAATAAGAGTTCACTCCCCAAGTGCCTGTTCTTGTCTGCTCCCTGGCAGTGGAAACTCTCTACACAGCCCTGAGGAACATTGACCGGAGTGAGATTTTGAACATGTTGGAGGGCCCTGGCAGACAAGGCCACTATCTGAGACCAGAGCAGCGGTACACCATCCGGGACTACTCCTTGTCACCCGCTCAGATGAATGGTGAGTGTCTTCTGGAATGAGGTGAGATTAGAGCTGGGCCCTGCCTTCCAGGAGCCAGCACTTGAAGTCTCCCTTTACACGAGATTTTATCCCTTGAGGTTGTCTCTCCCGTTGGTGGGAGGTCTATCCGTACCTAACTCCCAGGTGAGCAGAGGTGAGTGAGGGAGGCAGGCTGTGCACGCCTGTGAAGGTTGGCGTCCTCGTCAGTGCCTCCTACCTCTGTAATCATGTGAGAGAGGCTCCCTGACGATCAGCGACCAGGCTGGGGTCCCAGTAGGGCCTGGTGTAGCAGGTAAGAGCTTGACCCTGGGGCAACAGGTTAGACTCTTGCCCCTGCGTGTCTATGAGCTCTCTGTATAGCTCTGAACAAGGTGTGGGTCCTCTTGAGGCTTCAGTGTCCCCATCTGAAAAATAAACAATCACAACCATGTAATATCTCACTTTAAACACCCAAAGACTGAGAAGAAAAAAGCTTGGGGATTCTTGCCCAAGGCCTGATGTAGATTAGGTGGATGGTGTTTAAAAAATCCTCTTGTGGCCACTTCTGTGAGGCTTAGAGGTTTACTTTTCTCTAAGTCCAGTCTCGTTTTCTCTCTCCCTTTTTTCTTTCCACCTCTTACCTCTCACTCTTTTTGTTGTGGTTCAGCATAATATGGAGCTTCCAGTGTGACCTGGCCCGAGGAGAAGAGGTCTAGGGAATCCTGACCTCTGCCCCCAGCCCCCTACTGCTGTTGCTTCTGGTTGAGGACAGCTCTCCTTAAAGCAGCAGTGGAAGTAGCCAGTCCCATGAAGGCACTGGGGCTTGGGTGCTTCCCACTCCCTCCCCTTCACCTGCTCCCTCTCCTGGTCCTCACTCTCTAACCAGTGGGTACAGACACAGAGCAGAGGTCTCACTTCAACATCAGTTCACTGTGGTGGGAAAAGCATGAGTCTGGGACTTAGGAGGCCTGGGTTCTAGTCCCGTCTTTCTGGCCAACTCCCTACGTGACTAAGTCGTCTCCTCTAAAATTAGGAGGTAGGATGAGATCCCCAAGATTCCTTACAGAGCTTGAAAGAAAGTACTTTAATTCTGTGAAACAACTTCCTCTGGGGCTTAATATGTCACCCTGGACAACTACATCATGATGTTATGCTCCCCAAGTTCCAGTTTTAACGGACTTTCCAGGCCATGCACACGTACACTGTTGTCCAGTGCACCTGACCACCAGCAGGCCAGAAGGAATGACAGTGGTGGGTTCTAGGTGGGACTGGGCATTGGACCTCTTTCTGCTGGGAGACTCCCAGCCAGGTGGAGTCTGTGCGTGCCGAGCCCCTCACACTTCTCTCTCTCCTGTGTCTTGTGTCTCCTGAAACATGCCATCCAGTGCCACTGGGTGCAGGGCTCATCTTATGTCAGTCATTTCCTGTCTCCTCGCTCTTCTACCTCTGACCTCATCTTGACCTCTAGTTTGCTCATTCTCTTACACTGCCTGTCTCCACTGTCTCCACCTCCGCCAGGTGTCAAGAGCCATCAGCCTCCAACAGATGCATGTCATGAAAGACTCCTAACCCTTTTCCCTCCACCCAGTCTCATGGCTGTGTCTGTGGGCATCCATGTATGTGCGTGTGTGTGCCCAGGGGTCTGTTGTTGTGCCTCCTTGTCCTGGTTGTACACTATGCACTGCTCACTCTTCAAATCTACCGTAAAGGGCTCCAAGACAGTGGTCCACCTCATAGACCCTCCCCTCAGGGCACCTGGCTTGAACATTTCAAGGAGTGCTAAGTAGGCCAACTCCCTTTCACAGTGGAGAAAAGGCCACGCAGTTGAGGAATGCTGCAAACTTTGGGAAACCCATGTAACAAGACATTTCTTCCCTATGTGATAATTGATCACTTTGTTGGGTTTTGTTTTATTTTGTTGTGGTGGTGGTGGTGGTTAAATATATATAACAACATTTGCCACTTCAACCAGTTTGGTTGGGTTTTTTAATGACTCCAGTGCTGTTTCAGTAAAGTCAAATTAGCAAGTTTTTATTGAGCCACGGTTATGTACCTATAGGACGTGCCATTAGAATTGCATGAGTATAAACAAGGTAGTTATGGACCTAGGCATTTGTGGAAGTCTTTCATTGAGCATAGGACTCACAGCTCCTGTCAGACCTAGAAACTGTAGTGCTTCAACAGTGTTATACATATCTCTGTAGGACTGTGTCTCAGTGTGCTTCAGGACGGGATGAGAAGTGCTCTGTTTTGGCTGGCCAGTTCATTCGACAAATTATTTTGACCACTGGCTACATGCTAGGCACTGTTCTAGGCATGGGAGATCAGAAAGTTCTCACACAGTCAAAAAAAACTCTGCCTTCTTGGACATGCTATTAGAATAGCCAGACAACAGCATAATATGTAGTTGAATTATGTAATGTGCTAACAGGTGATAGGAAGTGTGGCAAAACATAAAATTAGGTAAGGGGGATCAAGAGTGCTAGGATTGTGGGTATTAAATAGTGTGTGGTGCGAGTGGGTAGTGTTTGAGACTTGAAGGAGATGAGGGAGTGAGTCATGTCAATATCTAGAGAAAGAGCAATTCAGAGTACTGCCAGTACAATGGCCCTGAGGCAGGGGGCATGCCTGGCATGTTCACAGAACAGAGAGGCTGGAGCAGAGTACGGGAGTAGAAGAGGCATGAGAGGAAGTCAGAGGGGCAGCAGAAGGCAGCTCCTATAGATTATCAAAAAGACATTGATTTTTACTGGGAGTGTGATGGAAAGCCATAGGAGGGTTTTGAGCAAAAGAGTGACATGATCTAGCTTAAGTTTTCTAAGGATTCCTCTCCCTGATTTGTTGATTTGATACTGACACAAACTGAACACTTCTATACTTCCTGGCTTCTCTGTCCAACCTCATCAGCCCCTTCTGAGCCCCCTTCTCAGTCCAAGTATCCCGATAGACACAGGCTACACCCACACTGTGCACCCCACTGACAACCTAGAGCTGACACTCATAAATAGATGCCCAACTTGGTCCACTCTGCCTTTCTAGACCCCAGAATTGGCTTCTGTGTGTTTTCATGCCCTCTTCTGTGTCCCAGGAAGACCATCCCATGCCTGGGTGCCCTTCTGGTCTGGAAAGAAAGAGGCAGGAAAAATCAAAGATATAAGGGTGAAGAAATAGCATCCCCCTGCAGCATGTCTGGCTTTCTCCTGGGCAGGGTCATGTGATAACATGTCCTGGTGCCAGCCTAGCCCTTCTAGACTGATGGTCACAGTCATCACCTTGGCTCTTTTGTGCTGTACCTCATTTCTCTGCTTGTCAAAGCCTCGTTATTGAAGCCACAGGGACTAGGGGCAGTAATTTGTCGCTCTGAGTTCCTGTGGGTCTAAGAAAAGCAGTTGGTGTCAGGGAACTAGAAACCCTAGGTCTGTTTTCCTTCCCTTGTGACTCTTCTTGCCATATATACCTGGATTGGCCAGAGCAGAAGGGGATTTAAATCAAAAAGCCAGTTTGCTTCTCCTGCATGGGAGGGAGCTACTCTGGGGGCCTTGAAATAAACATGAAGAAAAAAATTGCCTATAAAGCAAAAAATATATATAGCATGTTCCCGAAAATAAAACAGAAGAGATTTCTCATATAAAAGATGGACATTGCATACCCATGCTATTTGGCTCCATTTGATTTGACAGATGAATTGGACACATATTAGTGTCTACTTGGAAATAAAATGTGTTTTATTTAAATCAACTCTCAATGAATAAGACTAGTGAAGTGTGTTTCCTGTCTGAGGCCAGGTTGTCTGTCCAACCCTTGTCCAGCTTGCTACTGACATTAAATAATAAAGGAAAGTCGTCACATGTGAATTAGCAGAGAGTCAGAGTGACAACCTGAGTTGAGGAGAGACCTGGCGAGGGAGATTAGCAAAGCTGTGAGAGGAGGAAGAACCCTTTGACTGTGCTCTTCCCCAAAGCAATATGTATAGTTGCCCTTTTACCTGATTTCCCCAAAATGGAATTCCAGGCTAGACTGAGGGACAGGCTAGTGAGCCAGGTATAGCAGGGCCTCATGGGACTAATAGATGGGGCACTAATGAAACTCAACCTAGTAGAGCTTATTATGGTCTGGTTCACCCCTAGCAGATGTTCCTCACAAGGATGTGTTTGGGCCTTAGTGAGCATTGCTCCAGTTTAATAGTAGCCCCCACCAGCACCAGGATTACGGTCACTTTCAGCCCCAGATCCAAGCTTGTGTGGGTGTGGATGGATGTGTGGGGTCCTCTGGAAACTTACAGGGAACATCCATGAATGCAGTCTAAATACTGTTACCAATATTTAGGAGCTCCAGGGTGAACATAAGCAAAGAAGTTCTGGCAGAGGGTGGGTATGTGCTCACTACATGGACACATTTTTATCTGGATGAAATGTCTTTAAAGTGAACACCATGGTAGTTATGAAGTGAAAAAGTCACAAAGGATACCCAAGAATGAGCCTCAGATCTTCTGTGGCCAACAGAGCTACATTCTCCTAGTCTTCTTCAAGTCTTACTGAGATTCCCAGGAGGGACAGAATTGTCATCTGGCCATATCAGAGGGGCTGGTCAAGATGCATGCAGGTCTTCCATTTCTGGCCAAGATGGGGGTAACATGGACTGGATATACCTTCTTGCTTGAAATGACAAAAAAATGAGCAAAATGTATGAAACAACAGTTTCAACGCATTGGGCACCAGACAGCAAAAAACAGGGAATCATGCAGAAGATTAGTGAACTGGACAGCATAGTAATATAAACTCTCCAAAATGAAACAAGAGAGAAAATAAAATAATAAAAAAGTATCTGTGAGCTATCGGACAATTTCAAGTGACCTGATATATGTGCAATTATAGTCCCGAAAGGATGAGGGGGCAGAAAAAGTGTTTGAAGAAATGATGGCCACATTTTTTTCTAAATTTGATGAAAACTGTAAATACACAGATCAAAGAATTACAATGAACCTCATGCACAGGAAACAAAACAACTACACCAAAGTGCAT